AGTCATGCATCCCATTATTTTGAAGTACATGATGCCAAAACCTTGAAAGACCACAATTATATAGAAATGGGTGCTCAGTGAGTGCAGCAAGCTAGGAATTCCAAGGTTTCAAAATGTTATACTACATTGAACCCCATTTAACTCCCATAAAATTGATGAATTATAATCAATACAGTAATTTCTCTCCCCTAAACTGACTAACGTGTAGTGTGCTCTTTTTCATGACAGCTCTTCCTTTTGTCTGTATTTTTTACTTCCTTTCAAAATAAAATTCTATGTCTGGGGAAAAAAATCACTTTTGATTTTACAGATTCTATAAAATTCTAAAACTTATTTGTCATATTAAGTGGAATTTCAGAAGAAAGAAGATGAGCTAGCTATTCCTTTCATAAGTCACACAGAGGAAGAGGATCTAACTGTTTTCCTTACATTGCTCTGTGACATGACTTCTGAAAAATCATTAGCAGCCATGATCCTGATTCTCTATGATACTTGTTCTGTGACACACACAAAAGGTTCTGAACTCCTTCCCTACACTTTACAATTAACATTTTGCTTTTTTTCCTTGTACTATTTTGTTAGTCTTTGGAGAGATCATGATCAATGACTGCACCGAATCATAGGCATGAAAAAAACAGTTTAAAAAATGAAGGAAACCTTTTGAGTATTTTTCTGTGGCTCCAAAGTATTGCTGCTACAAATATACTAGATATATTTATCTACAAATGTTAAGCTTATAATTGTAGAAATTAATTTCGCAAATTTCCACTGAGCAGCTAGTTTCCATTCATGTAATTAATTCTTGTAATTTTTTTTTAAAGCCCAGACACTACAATTCTGAATAACAAATGGTAGTAGCAAATGCAGTATATGCAAGAATTTTAAAAAGCTCTGAGGTCAAAAACTACACATTGGTAGCTGACGGTATTTGCTGCAAGTAAATAACATAAGGTGCTTTTGCACGAGTGATGTCTGACTTAAACAGCTTGAGTAACAAGTTAGAGCTTGATAACATAAATTCTGTTCCAGATATTCTACTGACAAAACACTAATAATCTTTTTTGGGACTGTGAACTAAATAAATGATTTTTCCTGTCAATTCTGGATGTTGGGGTCCACTGAATTCTAAAGAACGTGAACACTGGGAACTAGAGGACCAATCAAAAACAATTTAAGAGGGTAACTCTAAGGAATCAGAGCAAATGCCTATTCCACAGTTGGTTTCAATGATTTTGATCAGACAACCAATGATCCTAAGTTTTATTCTGTCTGCTACACCAAAGAACCACCTACTCCAATGAATCTGTGCTTCGGATTATATTGTACCAAGACTGCCAGATTGCAACCCAGAGATTCCTTTTGCTGTTGCTGCTGCTGTTTGTTTATGTATTTATTTAAAGCTACAGTATTGACGTGCATTACTCTGTACAAAGCTAAAATGAAGAAAGGGCTGCAGAGTTTGGAATATCTGGTAAATTTTTCTTTTTTTGCTGCACAACAGAAGTAAAACTATCCACAGAAGAAAATAGCTACAAGTTCCTCAGAGTCCACCTCTTTCACATTAACTGGCATTTGAAGTCTCAATAACTGAGACATTCATAGGAGAAAGAATTTTTAAAGTTTCTTTATTTACTATTGCTTAAAATTATAGACTTATGTATAATGTCTTTACTGCACACATACTAGGAACTAACTGAAGAGATCAATAGCAACAAACAACTGCCACCAACCAATGACACACAGAGAGAGAACATTCAGCAAGAGATGGAATTTCTTCAAATTCAAAAGCTGGAAGGAACGATTGATTAGTGCTGGATACACTCAGCAAAGAGGTGGAGCTCTCTTCAAATTCAAAAGCTGGGAGGAATGATTGTTTAGTGCTGGATAGACAAACCACAGTCCAGAAAAGTCCCTCCCAGTTGCTAAAACTACAGCCAGCATGTAATGTTATAAAGAAAACTCTGACAGAAGCAAGGCTGCCCAGGAAGCGTACAATCTGAAACAAAAGCCAACAAACAGGAGAAGAATGAGGAATAGCAATTTAATACAAACAATCTACTATGCACAGTTCAAATAAAAAACAAATTATTGCACAATAAAATTGAATGGAATCAAAAATCTTAGAAAGATAAGCCTTTAAAAGATTTGAATAAATGAAGAGACCATTTGCAAAATGTTCATGAGGATTGTTTTAGGCATGTGACTACCCAAGGGAGAAAGGAGAAAGACTCATTAAAAAGTGGGAAATCTTCAGTCAAGTAAGAAGCAGAGAGATGGTTGAATGGAGGGAATGACCTGGTCTCTAGTAGGAAACCAGGGCTAAAAAATACAGAAGAAGGAGACCATGAGGAAGCCAGTGAAAACACTTCAAAAGGGAAGTACCACGATGGGCACTGAATTAGAACAGAAACAAAAAAAGTGTTATATGAGTTTGGAAAAGATTGTAATACTTTAAATGAAAAATGACCAGTTTTAGTTGAAGAAACAGGAAATAAGGGATGAAATCCTGCAATTTATAAAGAAAAAAGTAGTGAGTTTTAACACTAGCTTAAGCTGCTGAAACAAAAAAGAAAAAAATCAAAATAAGGGCAAGGCTACACACATGAAAGCATGCATGCTCCAGGCATTGGTTAATATCATTGTCACTAGTTATAGAAAATACTTGTAAATAAAACTTTTTAGGAGGAAAAATAGTGACCCACTCTTAGCCAGACTGAATTTTAGATGAAGAAGAAGCATCCAACTAAAATTCAGACAAAAATTGAAATCCAAATTTGAAAAATAGGGGAAAGATCTGGGGTTTGAAGAAAGGGTTGAGAATCATCACTGTACAAATGACATTGAAATCCATGGTATCTACCAAGTTAACTCAAAAGCATTGTATACATAGTTGTGGGAAATCCTCACAGCAAGAGGAAAAACAGACAAAAAAGAGGCTTCTATAGATATATTGAATGAATGGTCCAAAAATGAAGAGTCAGCTGTCTTAGAACAGAATCACAAAATTCAACCATGTCAAAAAGCAAGAAGAATAAGGATGGAGTATAAGAAGGAAAAGTTGAAGGAATTCAAGAAGGGAGAGCATGTAATGCCAGTAGAGTAGTCACAAAGCAAGAGAAGAGCAAATAGCTTACAGAAGTTCTTATTGTCAAACCGATGGCAAAATCTTAAGCTGAGGGGCAGGGAGAGAGATGGTGGAGGGGGCCTCAAGAATGAATTAGAGGGTGGAAAAGTGTTGTGGATTTCTAAAGTTAGCATGAATTAATTTAGAATAATACTTGTGTTGAGATGAGGAAAAGAAAGAAAAGAAAGCAAAATGGTAATGAATATAATCAGTCCATATATTAATTTTCTAAAGACAGCTAGCCACTCAAGCACAAGAATGGAGTTATCGAAATGGGTTTTGAGCCAAAGCTGAGAGCAAATAGAGTGAACAGTGCCTGTGAAAAATGGCAGAAATATGTAAAGAGCAGATGGGAAAATGGAATCAAGTGAAGAAATTGGAGTATCCAAAGGACCAGCAAAGATAACAAAGCCAGAGAAGTGAATCATGTCTCCAAAAAAAAGCTTCCATTTCAATGTTCCAGTGAAGTGGAATATAAGTGACACTAAAGGATAAACTGATAGTGATCTGGTAAGAAACCAGTGACAGAAAAGTTAGAAACAGAACAATTATGAGGGAACAAGGTCAAAGGATAAGGGCCATAAGAAATAGAGATTGGGGGAAGGGGAGGCAGGCGCATAGATCCTGAAATACAGCTAGTTAATAATAAGAAATGGACAGTTCCATAGAGACCAGGTAAAAGGGAGCTTATAAGAAGAAAGACAATGACCAGAAGTTAGGTTTGAAAGAAAAAAGTGAGAAAGTACCATGACATGTGAAGAATAGCACAGTAAGCAAAATGATGAGAGAAACAGTAAAGTCCAGTTGGTCTCATCAAATTCTTTTTACAAGGAAGTCACCAAATGAAATGGATGCAGGAGGCAGGACTGACTGTAATAAAAAGTCAGTTTTGGACAGCTTGTAACTAATTAATGACTCTGTCAACGCCTCATCATACATGAGAAAAGAACCCTGTAAACATCAGGATCTGTGATTCAGGAGGTCAATCACATAATTTTTTTTAGAACTGCAGAGCTGGAAAGGACCATTTATGTAAAGGGCACCAGACTCCCCCTTTACTCTCTTGAACAAAACAAAGTAAAAACCCCATCCGAAAAGCAACTGCAGTCCCGGCGCTGTCAGCAAAGCTGCACTGTAAAAGCCAGAGTCACATAAAATGAAACTTCCTGTACTTTTAAAATTATCTGCTTTGTCAAGAGGTAAGAGATTAATGGCTACTCCTGATTCTGTAGAAAGCAGGACGTGTATATGGGAAAGTAAGTAGTTCAGGGGGGGGAGGACACAGTACCTGCCCTCCTGTTAGATCAGTGGTTCTCAGCCATTTGCTTTCCATATATTTTGGACTGCATATCCCACAATCCCTGACCATCGGCCAAGCTGGCTAGGATGTTCTGAGAGCTGGAGCTGCAAATGTTTGGAAGACCAAATGGTTGAGAACCACTGCATTAAGCTGATTGCCTCAAGCAGCTGCTCTTGAGTGCCATAAAAGGGGAAGGGGACAAATGGTCTTAAATTTGTGGGGGCTTTGTGTGTGTGTGTTTGGGGTTTTTGTTCGTCTGGTGGTTTTACTCCCTGAAATGTGTGTGAGGTGGGAGAGACTTTTTTTTCCTCAGGTGACAAAGTAGTTTGGCTAGCTTTAGACACTTGTGCTTCTTGACTTGTGGAAGGTAATGGCATTTCCATTCCATAGATATTTATTTTTAAAAGCGAAAAGGCATTCTGAGTCTTGTTGGAGCACTTTGTTCCTCTGGTGAAGGGGAACTCAACAGCTTGCTAGGCCTGCTCATCTGTGATCCAACTTGACTCAATGACCAATGAGGTTCAATGAGGGGTTATGACATCAGGTACATAATGGCACACTGGCTTGCCAGAGCAGGTGCATGCCAAGTCCTATGGCCATTTTGCACCCACCTGAGCAGCATGAAAGGTTTTACAACTGTCATTTCCTCAGGAGCTGACTCTGAGAGTTAGGACGAAAACAACCCCCAAAAATCATCAAATTTAATATCCAAAAGAATGATGCAAGATGATGAAGATTCACCAGATATTCCTGATGAAGCCACCTTTAAAAATTCATTGAAGCTATTTCAGAGATTAGTTGACAGAACAGTGGTTCAAAAGAGGGAGGAAAGGATAGGCCTGTATGTAAAAGATGACGGTAAGAAACACTGTGTTTTCCATATGTTTTTACTTTTTAAAAATGTTTTATTTAAATTGGTACAAGTTGTCTTCTGGACCATGTCCACTCAAGGCAGCAAATAGATATAGATGTAAAAAAGTCAATAAAATAATTATTGTTAAAATTAAAACAAAAACAAAGCCCTAGTAATACATTAAAAGATAACTTAGCCAGTATATTTAACTATTTCCAGCCTACAAATAAAACATCAACTAGAAGAGCAGTATGGCCAATAGAATGTATCTGCTAAAAGCCATTCAAAATAAGTGCATTTTCAGTACTGTTTAACCAATTGAAGGAGGACAACCGTATACAGTATCTCTTTGGAGATAAAGGAAATAGGAACCGCTACTGTGAAGGCTATGTCCTTTGTGACCACCAATCTAATTGGATTTTACAGCTTGACCATTAAGTAGGAGCTCTCACACTGATTATAGCGCAGGCAGGCTCATTTGGGATAATAAGAGAAGGGACAAAATCAGCCTCAAAAGATAATTCCTCATTCCCCCTTCTTTTGCATTTTTTATACAATCCTATGCATTTACTCAGAAGTAAGCCACACTGAAGTATTTGGGACCTACTTGCAGGTTGTATGGGGGATTGCAGCCTTTACCTTTCAATAATACAGGAAACTGAGGATTTGTGGCTATCCCTCCCCTGCCCCCACCCCCGAAATTACAAGATACTTGGTCACAGGATATGCTGGCAAACTGCACAGTAAACTGAAGACACATTTCAGACAGTGGTGAACAAAATGAGATGGTAATGGGGAAAGTAGCAGTCTAAACCAATGATCTACTCTGGGCTTGTACTGTACTTACCTTCTATGGGGACCACTTTTGTTTCACTGCAGAGGAAATGGATTATGATAAATTCTACGCTGCAGTCCTAGAACTTTTTGGTACAGGTGTGAAAACGCAAGATGTTAAAACCTTCTACAGGAAAATTAGCAACAACCCAGATGGGCGTACAGAATGGTGTGAGGTACGTTCCTTTTTTATAGCACATTAAAATGTTTGAACCACAGCATTAGGCCAAATTAATATGATCTGCGTTCTGACATAGGGAGTACCAGAAGTTATATACAAGAAGTGAGGCTGATGTGTTTACATTGCAATTGCTATATTTGCAAGAGCCACATACAGTAGGTAGGCTGGTGTGGTCTTCAGCTGGAGGGATGGAGAGATCATAGAAACTGACTATATTTTGATCAAAACAGAACAGAGGCCAGAATCGTATTGTTGAATTATGCTTACGTAATAAGGGAAAGTGTTGGGTGAATAGGATATTGGAGACTGGCTCAGCAAGTGGAAGGAAATATTCATCTGTCCTTGCAAATGTTTTGAACAATAATCCTTTTATTTGCTAATAAATGACTAGCAAGTGCCCAAATGGACAGTAGCTCCTCATTTGGGGAGTCTAGAAAAAAGATTAAAGTCCACGCAATCATTTTGGTTTTCTGTCTTGCATCCATAACATATCATTTCCTGATACTGATATAATCTGTGTACTCACTGGCTGAAATCCGCTTGGCACAACTATGCATTGTAAATGTAATGACTTCATCACCACATGATAAAAATCATAAGTCCCATTTAAATCTTCCTATCCCCCACCTTCAGGTTCTGAGGCTCCCCAGCAATCCCTTTTGCCCTTTGGAAGCCTTTGGGAGTCATGGAACAGGGCAGGGAAACCTTTAATATTAAGCCCCTGTCAGTTTGGAACTGTGTGAGCAATATAGCAGCTCGTTTTCGATATGAAAGGCTTTCCCCCACCCCAAGGTCCCCAAAGACTTTCCAGGGCAAAAGATATCCATTAGGGAGCCTCAGAACCTGAAGGAGGAGCAAGAAATTTTAAATTTTAATTAAATTAGAGATGTCTGCCAAGGGTGATGACCTCATCACCATTTGCAGAGTGCAATTGTACCAACTGGATTTCAACAGTGTACAGTATATGCGTTGATACAAGCTGATATTGTCTTTGAAATGATTATGTTTTGGTCTTATGACACTTCTATCCACTTAATGATGTCTTAATCTCTTTTCTCACTGACTGTGTCCTCAGTGTGCTCATGCATCTGTCTATCTATCCACTGTTGTCGCATCAGATATTCATCCCCGTGATCTGCTGACAAAGGCTTTTCACCACGTTGTATACACAAACAGCATCCACTAAACTATACCTTTTGTAGCCAGTAATTTGTCAATCCAACCCCATCTTCTGTGGAGGCCTTGGCTTTCAATAGTCTTTTATACGAAAACTGGATGAGGTCCTGTCTGGGCATGAAAAAAACTCATCAAGGAAGTGAGCTCTGTCAGAATTCCTAAATTACTGATTTCCTACAGAAGACAAGTGCCTTGAATCATAAAGGCATATCTTAGAATGCATCTGTCATTTTATTGTTGCTAAGTCCATGCTGCTTCAAATAACTTAGTAGTCACCATTAGTTAAAAGCCCTTGGGGGGAGGGGTTGGTGGTGACACCATGAACCTTAAGTGAGAATATTAACATCAAAGCCAGGTTGTACACTAAGCAGACTCCAAGATTACTGCAAACACTGGGGTTGATAAATACCTCTGTGTGTATGGGGGCACATGCAACAAAGAACACCAGGACTTGAACTCCACATCACAGTGCTCCAGCAGATTATGTTTTGTTGCAGAATATTGAATTTTGGCCAAAAACATCTAACTGTGCAGCAAAAGTGCAGGGATTTACAGAGCATGATTAGCTTCAAATATCCCCAGAGTAGATCACCCTTTATTGTCTCATCAACTGGCACTTAGTCTCAATAACTTACTCTGAGACACTGGTAAGAGAGAGAATAAAAAACTTTCATTTATGTACAGTTATGAACAAATCAAAACAATACGCTGTATAAAAATTACTGCTTACAGGAGCAGGGTTCAAAGGACTCACAGCAGACTCTTGCAGACTACATTCTGACTGCATTAGCAGTACAACTGGACTGCATTGACTGCCTAAGAGCACTCTAAAAAGAAAAAGGAGAAAGAAAACACTTAAGCAGAGAAGTGTGGCTCTCTTCAAAATCAGAAGCAGGGAAGGAACAATTGGCTACCCCAGCCCAGTAAGGTCCCTTCCAGCCAAACCTACTGTAGGCAGCATATGAGACTGAAATAATTCCAACATCTTCTAGAGCTGTGTTTTGGCCTTATAGACTGAAGTATGTTTCTCATAGGTGCCACCTATATAAACCCTTAAACCAGGTAATCTCAGAGTCAGTTGATCTGAATAAACTGGTCCACTTTCATCAGGCCCTTTTAAGATAAGTTCTGATTTGGTAGCATTCAGTTCTGTACAGCTATACTGGTGATGGTGTATCCTTCAAACAGAACTCCTGCTATGGCTCTTGACCATACAGTGGTGCCCCGCATAGCGACGATAATCCGTTCCGGAAAAATCGTTGCTATACGGATTCGTCGCTATGCAGAACAAAAAAGCCCATAGGAACGCATTAAAACACGTTTAATGCGTTCCTATGGGCAAAAAACTCACCGTTATGTGGAAATCCTCCATACGGCCACCATTTTCGCTGCCCGGTAAGCGAGGAAAGGGCGCGAAAACACTGCGGGCAGCCATTTTTTTACCCAGCGGCCATTTTGGAACCGCCAATCAGCTGTTAGAAAAAACGTAGCTATGCAAAAATCGGTAAGCGAAACGCTTACCGATCATCGCAAAGCGATGTTTTACCTTTTAAAACATCGCAATGCGATCGCTTTTGCGATCACAAAAAAGCCATTGCTATGCGGATTCGTCATTAAACGGGGCACCCATTAGGCGGGGCACCACTGTATTTCTTTTAAAGCAGTCTTCCCAGCCATGAACCCTCCAGGTATGCTGGGTTTCAGATTCCATCATCCCCAACCAGCAGGACAATGGATAAAGGGATTGTAGTCCCTTACCTCCAGGGAGTGCTAGTTAGGAAGGGTTGCTTTAGAACCTGATCTGCTTCAATGCAACTGAGTGAAGAACCTGCAGCCCGCCTCTTCGGATGGCAACATGCTAAAGTGTTGATCGCTGAATCAGAGCTTCCTGCTGTCTCCTCCCAAGAGCCTAGATTCCTCATGGTTCTCTGATGTTGGTGATTCCAGAAATCTGTGAGTTAGCTGAGGGTTCCTAGGTCCTCTTTTAAGGAGGGGGTCTTCCACAGGGACAGGCCCCACTGGTTACTTGCTTTGTCTGCCCATTCAGAACTGACTACTTCTCACTGACCCCTGGGATGCCCTGACAAAGGCTGGCCAAGAAGATGCAGCAGCAAACATCCCTCCTGGTGGTATTCTCAACAGCATCTCACTGCTGTACTGACATTTTCTAAGATAACTGTATAAATATTCAGAAATCATAAATATTTACAAGCAGTTTTCCAATTAGCTATGATCTGTTATGACAAAAAGTAGCTTATTTACCCTAGAATTATCCCATTAGTTGCCCTTGAAGTATTACATCTGATTTTCATGTTTAAAGTATTATATTTCTGTAGCAAAGAACGTTCTAAGCATTTGAGGGTGACATATTTGATTGACGTGATTGACATTTACGGTCCATATAGCTCTCTTTCTGATGAATGTGCTACTGTTTATGTAGACCTTTTTCTTCCACAGTTTTGCATTGCTAGTAATATTCCCTTTTGCTACACAGTAGAAGTACAAACAAGATTAACTACGAGTTCCTCAGAATTCACATCTTTCTCATTAACTGGCACTTAAAGTCTCAGTAATTCACTCTGAGATGTTTCTAGGAGAGAGAATAAAAACATTATTTATGTTTGCTGTGAATTACAGATTAGTGTATGCTGCTTTCTTTGCTGCACATATATTCTCAGCTACTGATGGACATGAACTGAAATACAAACCTAAATTAACCATGAACTGGGCTGGTTCATGGTTATGTTCATGGATCCCATTTTGCCAAAACAAAACAAATTGCCAAACTTTTCCCCACTTGGTGCTTAGTTTTGCTTTCGCAAAATGGATGCCCCCCCTTCCCTCTGCCCCTGTTGCCTCCTTACCTGGTCCTGCTCCCTCTGCCACCACTGCCATCTTCAGAGACAGTGACCTCGCTTCCCTTCTGGGAGCCAGGCCTGCTGTCTCTGCGTATGCGCTGGCCTGTCAATTGATAGGTGTGCACATGCACAGAAACAGCAGGCCCAGCTCTTGGAAGGAGCCCTCTCTGTGCATGCGCTGGCCTATGAATGTATCAGTCCATCCCAAGTCACACAAACTACACTCAGCATGCAAAGTTGGAAATAAAACCCAAACACATTAGCCATGGCATCCATCTTGCTTCGTGCACAATCATCAGACTCTTAAAAGGAAGGAACAGAAAGTTTTGGTTCCTATCCGAACTGCATCTTCATGTTCTGGCCATTCTTGTTTTTGTATCAGACTACATGTTACTAATGTGCATTTTTATGCATCAACATTCATTTAGTTTTTAACTGCTTCCCATCCCCATGATCTCATTTTTAACACATTCTGCCTATTTTCCTACACTGACTACAGTAGGACCACAGTATCTGTGGGGCATCGGTCCCAAGTCTCTCCTCATGGATGCAATATATACATATCATGGCCTATGGCTCCCTCTAGTACTGTAGTTGGTTCTGGTAAATACACCATGAAAATATGTATAAGAATAAATATGTATTTCTGGCACTTTATTTAATATCTTCAGTGTGGAAGGGATTGCCACTCTCGAATTGGCCTCCTCAGCCACATTAGATACTGTTCCAAGTCCTCTGTTCAGAGCATGATACCATAGTCTCTTGAGACTGAAGGATGCCTAAGAAGATTTAATATATCCACGCAGCGGATAAGTGAATCCGCGGATACTGATCCCACAGATAGGGAGGTCCTGCTGTATTGTATGTTTTTGCGCAATTTTTAATTATGCATATTTTACCAATTAACATTTCATGAAGCACACTCCGTCTTCTGCACATTTTATTTCTCTGAAACATGCAAATTCTTGAGGTGAGAAAGCTAGTCTTGTTAGGGCTGCCAAATCCAGCTAAATACTTTTCCATCCCTACTTAAAAGTTCTTGGTTAAAATATCACCCCTAATTTGCAGTTATCTTGGAAGATCATTCTGTTCTGTGGCTGGCTTTTAACAAATCACACCTTTTCCTGCATATGCCATATAGAGTAATCCTCATCAGCAAAGGAATGACAGTCATTTCCTGTTCTCTTGATTGTATAGATGGGTAGATGCTTTGTGACTCTGATTTTCTAATAATCATGATAATTTTATAAAACATATACTTAACCATCTTTAGTGTTCTTAGCGACAAGCAAAGCACATTCTGGTCTTGTAAGGCAGCATTTTCTAAAATGCTTAGAAAAAATTGAGGAAAAAGGACTGACAATGCACATGGGAACTGATTGTAAGGAGAGGAGAATGCCAAGAAGGGGGGAAAAACCTATTAGGGATCTGGTATTTACACTTTTCTGTCTTGCATTAACAACATTTAGAGGTAATGCACTTTAAAGGTGACCTTTGCATTGACTGTGAAAATCTCCCAGAGTTCATTTTTCTATTACTTTGCCTCTAGTGCTGCTGGCTTGAGAGATTTAATACATAAAAGTTCTTCCTGCACCAAAAAAAACAGCACATAACCTTTCAACCCAACCAGCACTTTTAGCTGAAATCTTGTTGCTTAGTTACGCAAAAGTTGTGACATTCCCATTCTATTTAGCTGACAATTAACAAATCCCCACTAAGATTCTCAAGCATAAATCAAGCCAGTAGGCACTTTTTCTCTCAAGTATCCCAATGGTGACAGGTTAATTGCTGACTAGGAATGACAGGGATGTTATATCTTTATGTAACAAAGCAATATGATTTTGTTGTTTAGTTATTAAGTTGTGTCTGACTCTTCGTGACCCCATGGACCAGAGCATGCCAGCCCCCCTGTCTTCCACTGCCTCCCAGAGTTAGGTCAAATACATGATGGTAGCTTTGATTACACTGTCCAACCATCTTGCCCGCTGTCGTCCCCTTCCCCTCTTGCCTTCACACTTTCCCAACATCAGTGTCTTGTCCAGGGAGTCTTCTCTTCTCATGAGATGGCCAAAGTACTGGAGCATCAGCTTCAGGATCTGTCCTTCCAGTGAGCACTCAGGGTTGATTTCCTTCAAAATGGATAGGTTTGTTCTCCTTGCAGTCCAGGGGACTCTCAAGAGTCTCCTCCAGCACCACAATTCAAAAGCATCAATTCTTTGGCGGTCAGCCTTCTTTATGATCCAGCTCTCACTTCTATACATCATTACAGGAAAACCGTAGCTTTGGCTGCTGTCACCATCTGCAGTGATCATGGTGCCCAAGAAAGCAAAATCTGTTACTGCCTCCATATCTTCCCCTTCCATTTGCCAGGAGGTGATGGGACCAGTGGCCACGATCTTAGTTTTCTTTATGTTGAGCTTCAGATCATTTTTTGTGCTCTTTAATTCCTCCTCACTTTCTGCCATCAGAGTGGTATCATCTGCATATCTGAGGTTGTTGACATGATTTTAGTTGTCTTTTTAAAGACATAATTTGCTGTTAGTGGAATATAGACTCCTTCCATGAACATTATGGCTTTACAAGTACGTAGTATTTATGCCTGCCATGCACCAGTCAAGTGACTTAGCACACCATAAGAAATAATACCAACTTCTTAATAGCAGTTCATTGCTTAAATTACACCAATAGACTTAACACTACTGTAATTATTCAGTTGGATTCTGGTCAGGTAATTGCAGTACAAACTTATAAAAATATATAGAATTGCTTGCACAAATGGGGGGATACATAAATCTATCTATCAAACAAACAAACAAATAAATATGCTTCCTGTAAGGACAAAAGAATTCCCACTATGGACCTACATATTAAAGCCATATGAATTTATTTATCTAGCTTGCTTCCCATGAATGAGTAATATTGTAAAATCAGATTGTAGTTATAAGGCTCACTGTGTGGCGATTGTGAACAAGCCTTTCTTTCTTAAACCTACCCACCTGTTAGTTACTGTTCAAGTCTAAAATGCCACTCTTGAGCTACCTGGAGATAAAGTGAAACTTAACTATAAAAAACACAACAATTTCATACTTTGTGCACTTGATAACATAGTACGTGCACCACTCAAGGCAGAAAGCATGGCTTCCAAATCTATCAACTCCCATTTTTATTTATATCTGCAAGGAATAACTCAACAATTAAAATAAGATTGTTATTCAGTGGAGCCATAAAATAAAATGTTGGGTATTAAAAATCTGACTGTCTTTATAAGCTTGCCGAATGTGTTTGTTGGCCTTATTCAGATCAGAAAATTCTTCTACTTAAGGTCTGTATTCTGATGGTAATAATTATGAAAACACTTACGAACAGTGTAGTTGTCGCTGTTACAAGCCTTCAAGTTGGAACTGACTTAAAGTAATGTTATCAATACCCTTCAAGGTATGTAAAATGTTTAAAAAGTGGTCTTACTAGTTCCATATCCCCAGTAAATTTCCATGGCTGAACAGGGAGTTGAACTCAGGCCTTCTGAGTCCTTGTCTATTACTCTATCCAGTGCACCACGCTGGGTGCCTTACAAAAATTTCAAACTTCGCAATACATTTTCCATATTTAGATTAAGTTCAGAGATTTCTACCCTGTTTCCCCAAAAATAAGACCTAACCTTAAAATAAGTCCTAGTATGATTTTTCAGGATGCTCAGAAAGTGAGGAGGAATTAAAGAACCTTGTAATGAGAGTGAAAGAGGAGAGTGCAAAAAACGGTCTGAAACTCAACATCAAAAAAACTAAGATCATGGCCACTGGTCCCATCACCTCCTGGGAAATAGAAGGGGAAGATATGGAGGCAGTGTCAAATTTTATCTTCCTGGGCTCCATGATCACTGCAGATGGAGACAGCAGCCCTGAAATTAAAAGACGCCTTCTTCTTGGGAGGAAAGCGATGACAAATCTTGACAGCATCTTGAAAAGCAGAGACATCACCTTGCCAACAAAAGTCCGAATAGTCAAAGCTATGGTTTTTCCTGTCGTGATGTATGGAAGTGAGAGCTGGACCATAAAGAAAGCAGACCGCCGAAGAATTGATGCCTTTGAATTGTGGTGCTGGAGGAGGCTCTTGAGAATCCCCTGGACTGCAAGGAGAACAAACCTATCAGTTCTAAAGGAAATCAACCCTGAGTGCTCACTGGAAGGACAGATCCTGAAGCTGAGGCTCCAGTACTTTGGCCATCTCATGAGAAGAAAAGAGTCCTTGGAAAAAACCTTGATGTTAGGAAGGTGTGATGGCAAGAGGAGAAGGGGACGACCGAGGATGAGATGGCTGGACAGTGTCTGCGAAGCAACCAACATGAACCTGACACAACTCCGGGAGGCAGTAGAAGACAGGAGGGCCTGACGTGCTCTGGTCCATGGGGTCACGAAGAGTCAGACACGACTAAACGACTAAACACACAAACATATAATTAATGTGTTCCAATGTGGAGGGGGGGTATACATGAAAAAATAAAACATCCCCTGAAAATAAGCCCTAATCCGTTTTTGGAGCAAAAATTAATATAAGACCCTGTCTTATTTTTGGGGAGACACGGTATATGCACAGTTACAGAAGAAGAGAGAAAGAGAGAAAATGCTTATACATATACTTATTTGCATCTACACTTCAGTTGCTATGTTCTTCTCACATTGTGTTATGCTTTGTTTGGCTTCTTTTAGATATTTGGCTATTATATACTGGAGGGTGATGTTCTTGGTTCCCAACTTGATGAAGAAAATATGGTTTTCCTGGTATCGAAAAAACAGCGGATTACTAAAGCAGGTGAGATCTTTGATGTCCCCCCAACACATATTATCAATGTGCACAGAAGAATTTATTCATAGTATTACAATTATTAAGTACATTTTTCACACATATGCTCAGTATGTATTTGAGTATCCAGTTTACCCATGGCTTCATCCGTGTTTTATTTAATTTGTTATAGCAGATTTCTTATATAATTTGTTTCGTTTTTACAAACCCACAATGTTTTTAAATAAAATCACAATATCTTTTAATGAAAGCAACTCTTTTCTTGTGCAAGACACACACACACCCTTGCCTGGCTCCAGTGACACCAGCAGGTGGGACTCAATACAGTAACTAATTTGGTGAACATGTTTATTAATATTGCATGGCTTCTAGTTCAAAGTATCAGGCTATGTGTTTGTATGTGCATATTTTCATGGGACATGTTTCATTCTCCAAGCTTCCCTGTTGTGAATCGTACAATGAATTGTGTTGCTCTACTTCAAGGCAGAGTAAATTAATATCGGCCATCTGTTCCTTTCTAATTGTATATGTTTCTTTAGCCTAATAAAAGCAGCTGTTTGACTAATGTAATGCTTGTAAACTTCCAGCCTGGTGTTTAACCTTGACCTATTTTTGTGTGCCTGGACTGCGTATTATTACGTCACAAAGAGGATGAGGGCCCACGTGATGGGATGTTTCCTCACAGAAAAGTATGGTGGTTGGAGCACATTCAGAAAAAGGCTAGACTAAAACTATTCTCCTTGACGTTGCTTTTTGATCAGGAGGGAATTATTTTGCATTCAGTCCTATATCCCCTCAATCAGGAATATGTCCCACTGAACTCCATAGGACCTCCTCTTGCATGAGATGGCACTGCATGTTTTGTAAACCTTTTGATGGAATTTGAAGTGCTTCAGCTCAGTAATTTTCACTTATTCCAACACTGATTGGTTGTTTAAACTGGGCAGCTTAACTAAGTGCTGGACAGCATTAATTCCCTGTAATAATTTCCAGAGTGGTTGGTATATTGATATGTTGTCACACAAAGAGCAGAATTAATGGCTGCACCTTAAACACTAGCATTTTTATCATTTGGGACAGGACTGCCAATTTAGAAAGAAAGGGAAACAACACAAAAGAGGTTCTTACTTTCACTTTCAAGTCCTTTCATCAATTGCCTCTTAAAACACAAATGAGTCCTTGAAATGAAAGACAGGAACATGAACATTTTAGTTTTTTTTCCATGTTTCCCTCTTTCATAAAACTTTTCTTTTATCAAATCACCTGGAAAGTGGGCTATTGTGTATGAATTCTTGTGTTAGAGTTAGAGATGGAGGTATTCATATACGAATATGAATATCCCCCCACAGGTGCAGATAACAAGGCACCAGACCGACCACTCACAATTTTGCTACTGCCACGAGCGCCACAGAGCCTTCCTATTGCTCCATTGCTTGCGATAGATTAGCCAGTCCTGGCAGAAGGCAAGCCCTCTCTGCCAGGTCGCAGAGTGGCTAATCCATCGCAAGCAACGGACAGATAGGAAGGCTCTGTGGAGCCATCAGCAGCAGTGGACGGGTGAGTAGACGGTCCAGCCCCAGGGGGCCAGATCCTCATTATTTGCACCTGTGGTGAGATATTTGTATTTGTATACGAATATTGCACTGTGGGGAGATATTTGTATTTGTATATGAATACCCCCCAATCTCTAGTTAGAGTGCTTTTAGCTTTAAGGTGACCTAGGGCATTCTGTTGTTTCCATCTTCTCACTGCTTTGCTTGGAATTAAACCACTTTAAATACAAATATTTCATCCTAATCAGACTGTCAATACAATTTTCTTGCCAGAAGTCACACCCCATAAGGCTGATGATGTCCTCAACGACAGTGACCTTTCAGATTTTTTTAGATCTGATTCCCATCACCAGATCTTGAGACTCCCTTGGTGTCCATCTTATGGGACCGCAGGATGGGGGAGCCTTTGATTTCCAAAAATCACTATTGCCAGTAAGAGCAAGATAATTTTTCAGAAATTAAAGGCTTCTCCCACCATCTCATGGTCTCTTGAAGCTCCCTCACAATGAAACAAATCCCAATTGCAGCTTTTGACCTGGGGAGGCCAGTCAGTAATCTTTAATTTCTCAAAAACTGCTGTAGCTGGTGTCATCTTTATTCTTATGCAGCATATGTTGTGCAATAGGATTTCAGCTGATAAATAGCAGAAAAGACATTATGGATGAAGTTTGTACTTTTGCAAATTTGCTATCCTATTGTTGTTGTTGTTTGGTCATTAAGTCGTGTCCGACTCTTCGTGACCCCATGGACCAGAGCACGCCAGGCCCTCCTGTCTTCCCCTGCCTCCCAGAGTTGGATCAAATTCATGTTGGTTTGCTATCCTATAGGGGATTTCTAATCTTTTCCTATAGGATGTGACCTGTGGTGAATATCTCTTGCACTCTCCCATCTTCCTCCACAATTCACATTATGTTGAAAATCCATGAAGTATGTTGAAATGCAATATGCTTTTTGATAACTTCATTTATGTTTTGAGACTAGATGACTTCAGCACTCTGAATAAGTACAGTAGCCTAGGGCTTTGACGAAATAATGCTAATGTTCCTTAATAAGTCCTTATATTTCCTCAATGATCAATTTAACTTTAGGGATGGGGTAACATTCAGTGCCTAGTAGATGACGAAGAACAATTTGTAAGAAGAGTAGTCAGAGCAAGAGCTGAAGGTTTTTTAGCTAGAAAACAGGGTGGAACTTTAGTAAGCCGGAGAAGCCAATGCTCTTTTTCACCTGTTTATTTCTATGCCATCTTTTAGGCTGAATCAGACAAAAATGCCCTCAAAGTGTGCAGACCTGATGGTGTGATCAAACAAGGCAAATGTTCCCTAGTTATATCCTTCTTAGGTTGCTGTAGATATTTCTGGTCACGTTACACATGGCTGTATTATTGAATCATTTTCCTAGCCAGTAGTGTAAGTTTATTTGCCCCTCACTAGGAGGCTTCTATTATTTTGTTCTAATGGTGTTTCAGTATATTCCTTAGCAGTTTGACATGTGCACATGACCCTGTTGATCCCTTTCCAAAGCCAAATCTCTAAGGAAGGTGGCTGCCATTACTGCCATGCGGCTGCTACACTAATTTTTTAAAAAAAATTCTTTGTGTGGCCAGTATGTTGACACATAGCTTAACTTATGTATTATATTTTTCCATGTATAAAACAACACTTTTTCCTTAATTAGACAAAAAACTGAGGGTTTTATACATGGAAGGCAGCCACTTTTACCTGCCTTTTGCAAAGCCACGGGCAGGGAAGCTTAGCAAAAAGGAAAGGAAGGCTCCCTTTGGGTAAATCGCAGCCCTTTGATCCTGAAGCACTTTCATGGCTGCTTTATCCACTTCCTAAGCCCCGCAATGACAAACCTAGACAGCCTTTTAAAAAGCAGAGACATCACCTTGCCAACAAAGGTCCGAAAAGTCAAAGCTCTGGTTTTACCCAGTAGCAATGTATGGAAGTGAGAGCTGGACCATAAAGAAAGCTGACTGCCGAAGAATTGATGCTTTTGAATTGTGGTGCTGGAAGAGACTCTTGGGAGTCCCCTGGACTGCAAGGAGAACAAACCTATCCATTCTGAAGGAAATCAACCCTGAGTGCTCACTGGAAGGACAGGTCCTGAAGCTGAGGCTCTAGTACTTTGGCCATCTCATGAGAAGAGAAGACTCTCTGGAAAAGACCCTGATGTTGGGAAAGTGTGGAGGCAAGAGAAGGGGATGAGAAAGGATGAGATGGTTGGACAGTGTCATCATAGCTACCAACATGAATTTGACCCAACTCCGGTAGGCAGTGGAAGACAGGAAGGCCTGGCATGCTCTGGTCCATGGGGTCACGAAGAGTTGGACACGACTTGATGGCTAAACAACAACAAGCCCTACGGGGCTTAGAAAGTGGGTAATGCAGCTATGAAAGGGCTGAACAATCGCAACCTTTTGATCCTGAAGCAGCCATGAAAGGGCTTCAGGATCAAAGGGCTGTGATCATGCAGCCTTTACCCAAAGGGAGCCTTGCCTTTTGTGAAGCCCCGTGGCTTCACAAAAGGCAAGGAAAAGCAGCAGTCAAAGGGAGCCCTTTGATCCCTGCTTTTTCCTTCCTTTCGCTAAGCTCCAGGGATCAAATGTTATAATTTGGGGTTAGGAAAGGGGGGGTTGTCTTATACATTGGATTGTCTTATGAATGGAAAAATATGGTAATGGCTAGGTGTGCCAGGGCATTGGTAGGTGTTGTGTCACTCCACCTTCTGTCTGGCAAGCGACACAGCCATGGATCCATTGAATGCAATGCAGTTCTTCCAAAGGCACTGGCGAAACAGAGGAAATGTAACCAAACAGGAACCTCTACTAGACATATTGACATATTGTTAATTTTTTAAGAAAAACAAAAATTAAAGAAAGGGGCTGCAGTGCCCCAGAGGAAAAGAGAAAATAAATCAGTACCACGGTGTCACTGGCTATAATGGTTCAAATAGAAGAAAATGAATCTGTGACACTGGGCCGTTTGTCCAGGTATATATACACATGACTGTGATTCAATACAACAAAGGTATGTTTGTCCAGGTATATATACCACATGACTGTGATTCAATACAACAAAGGTATGGAAAGTTTCATTAGAACAGGGTAATATTTCCCTGGTGTGACCATGGCCTGAGTTTCTTAGAACCTTTTCCTGGCATTTTGACTAATCCTCATAATCCTTGGTTATGGATTTTTCTTTCACCCATATGCCAGTAGGGTCACATTTATTTGCTTATGTCCTTCAGTTTGAAAGGATCCACTGCAGCTCATATTATTAAAACAATTTAATAACAAATATGATAAAAGCAACAACTGAAAAATTGCAGCAAAAGCACAAGGATAAAATTCAGCTGGGCACATAAAAAAAACCAACAGCATTACTACATTGGAAAAAGCCTAGCTAAATAAGAAGCCTTTCCTGAGCCAGATTTCCCTGCGATTGGTTTTTCATGTACACAGTGCCACAATTGTAAGGATCCTTGTCCCAGTTACCCCCTTGACTTCAGAACTCAAAGAAACATCAGGGAAGGCCTTTGCTGAAGAATGAGACATTGGGACAGGATTATGTGACTGAAGAACATCCTTAAGGTAACCAAGTCCCAAGTAATTTAGAGTTTTGGAAGTAATCACCCATAGTTTGAATTGTTCAGAGAAATGGATAGGCACACTGTACAGTAATTGTTTATGAACTGGCTGGTCCCAAGTAGGAATCTACAAGCCACATTTTGTTCCTTTTGTTACACAATGTGTGTTAAAGCTTCAGTTCCTTCAGCAAAGATAACAGGGTTGTTGCATATGATGTACCCAACCCAGAAAATATTAGAAGTACATACAACAAGAAGCAATATCCAGTGATAAAGAACAAGTAGTCTATAATTTCTCATTTCTTTACACCAACATAAACAACAGGTATATGTAGTTTTAGAAGCCTTAACGACAATGATAATATGAATTCATAAATAGTAGTCTTCAAATTCATGAATGCACCCAAGAACAATAGGTCTACCATGGCCTAATGCTTTACCTGAAGGTAAGGAGAAGAATTATGTAGAAGAAATATACAGTGTTACAAGGGTACATGACATAATTCTTATGTGAAGAGTGGTCAGTGGGTAGAATTATAGAGATGCACATATACAGAGGCATAGTAGGTGGTATCCTCTCTCCTGTAAGAACAGCGAGGATACCACATGCATGTCTACACAGATTACTCACATGCATGTCTTCAAAGATTTCATTTAACTCCAGACAGCTATATTAATTATATGGTATATAACCTTTTCTTCCTCTTTCCCTCCTGAATCTGATTTCTGGTTACAGTAGATAGAGTCTGGCAGTCAAGATCCTTGATTGTAAGAGTTCTGGCATATGTTAGACTGTCAATAAAAACATATAAGACAACTGCCACTGTATTCCTTATTTCCACTTTTCACATAGATCAGTTGGTCATGTTCTTCTTTTCTGTACTTGCTATCGGAATCTTCGTATGGAGTTTTTATCACCTATTATCTGTAAATCTCCTGGGAGAGCAGAGGAGGATTATGTGCAGTGGCTACTCTCTGACAATACCCCTTATATTACAAGACAAGTGGCCAAATTCTGTGCTGCAGCAATGGTTATTTGTAAACAGATGTTTGGGTAGGTGATTTTAGATGGGTAATATAATGTTTTAAATATAACACTGCCGGAGGTTTTAACTATATTAAGGATATATGATGTTATTAATTGGAAAGAAGGGGTTGTTTTATCATGTGTTAATGGAATTTTATTACCTTGCCTGAATTTACGAAAAAATAATTATATGTATCCATTTTATATTGATTTGGTTTTACTGGTCTTTGACCGTAATAAAGTATACTACTACTTTTCACATAGGCAGCCTGATTACTCACTTTGTTTTTACTTGTGTGCATTCCCTAACTTCTAAATGTTTTATTGTATGATTTTGAACTTTTCTTTTTGACATCTTTGGCAGGGGTGAAGAGACATGACGTAATAAAATGCATGGTAAAGATACCCCAGTTGGATTTTGTAGTAACAGCATCTCAGAAAGGAATGTTGTCTATTTTCTCCAGTCAGGTAATTATGAAATTAACACATTGTATTATAAAGACAGAATAAACAGATACATAAAAGCTTTTGCCTTTTATTTAAATCTGAATGAAATCCTTGAGCAAATTTATTTGAAAGATAACCTGGTTTCCTTTTTATCAAGTCAAAAATACAGAGACATATAATTTAATGTTCATATATTAGTCTGTCACAGAAGAGAAAATGAACACAGGTCATTAGGAAACTGCCTGTGGACCCATTGTTGAAGGAGATACATGTTACCCAAATATGCAGATCTTGTTCTGCCCATCTCAATTTCCAAGTTCCATTCATACGAAACAGATTCCTGATGTAATGTTTGTTAGTAGAAAATAAACTACGCGCATCCTTTGTTGCTCAGTTAGAGCTTGGAGGTGCTGGAGGAAAATTATTAGAATTCAGGAGCATTCATGAATATTTCAGAAATGTCTAAAAAGCTTCTTTTCAGTATGCCAGCACTTTGTAGACAACACAACATAAGTATTTTAATTGAAAAAAACTTTGTTTTAGTAGACTGAGTTTCTACAGGCAGGTTCATCAAGTTGAATTGGTGTCTCCCCTAACTTGTGTACCTGATTGGTAACTGGGGCTGGTTACAGGGAACATGTAACTTCCCTGTTACAACAGCTCCCCTGCCTGCTGATCTGTTTCCAGGCACAATTCAAAATGCTGGTTTTAACTTATAAAGCCCTAAATGGCTTGGGTCCAAGTGATCTAAAAGACCGCATCTCCTTCTGTGAGCCTGCCCAGACATTGAGATCATCAGGGGAGATGTTTCTTTAGGTCCCACCATCTTCACAGGTGGTGTTGGTAGGGACATGGGAGAGAATCATTTCTGTTGCTGCTCCCAGACTCTGGAACTCCGTCCCATGGAAAGCTAGGCTGGCCCCATATTTGCTGTCCTTCTGCAAGTGGTCAAAGTCTATTCTCTTCAGCAGACTTTTACGTAGTGACTGGCAGTTTGAGAGGGGTTTGTGCTATGTTGCTTTTTAATATGTTTTTACTACAGTATTTCTTTTATTTACCATTTTTAATATACCTTTTAAATTATTTTTTAATATTTGTACAGTTACCTTTTTTTAGCTTTGTATATTGTCGTTTTAATGATGTGAGCTGCCTTGGGTTCTTTTGAGGAGAAAGGTGGGATAAAAATACTTTAAAGAAAGAAAGAAAGAATCTTTGTAGCAAAGGGTTTGCAATCACTATGTGCATTCTACATAACTTTGTGTGGAAGTTCATACTTCTTATTTGGGTGGAAGCAGAGGCACACACAGATGTGATAATCAGAGAAATTGGAAATTAAATTTAATTGACAGACAAATGATATTAATTAGAAACAAATTACAGTATTATCTAGCAACTGAGGAAGGTGGGAGTGGAGCAATGCCGCTCAACTAACGGTGGATCTCCCCCCTCTGGTTATAAATCTTGCAAATTGACTTTTTTATTTGTTTTATTGATTAGAGAAAGTTACCTCAATTAGCTCCTCGGGACAGTCTGCACCGATTCAAAATTATTGCCGAAAGGTGAGAAATTGAACGGAACCAAAACAGATTTGCTTGTCCCCAGTTGAATCTTCTAAAGCTTCCATATCTATAAATTATTATTTGACTCTTAGATTGCACCATTGCGCATAGTTACTTAAACATAGCTTGACCAAATGCAAAAGAGGACTTGGCCACTGCACCTTTAAATCTTGTTGGTTGGCGTAGTAAATAACACTAGAATCAATGGGGATTTAATGAGTCAGCTTTCCCCTTAGTATGATTGATTCAAATAGGCCTTCTCTCACTACAACTTATTTTAGTATTTTAAGTTACAGTTAGAGTAGGCCCATTTGAATCATGGAACTTGTGGAGGAAATAAATCCTCATTGTTTCAGTGGGCATACTCTAGTGCAATTTACTACGCAAAGCAACAAGATTTTGTCCAATTGTGCAGAAGAGGGAGTTGAAGCAAATATACCTTATCATTCAAGAGACTCTTAACATCTTCTTATGTGCAGTTTTTAAAGATACAGGAGCCCCGTTATTTTTTACATCTGGCCACTGTATTGGAAATTAGCTCTTTTGAATTCAGGAGGCATGTGGCAGGATAGGCTATAAATCTGTCACACACAAGTGTTGCTAGGGTGGAACGTTGTTATTTCACATGGCTTTTCTTACAAACAACTACTAGTTAAAGGACATTTTATTTCTTCAAGCTAAGCAGGATCAAAACACTTTAAAATCAATTTCCAACTATTTATTGCCATGTTTATTTTTGTCTTCTAGATGAGAATCCTGACAAGTACAAGCATTCCAGTAAGTGTATTCTTTTTCTAATAATTCAAAAAAATAGAACTTAATAAAATAGCTTCCTTTACAATTTTGCATTGTGAAACAACGCATCCTGGAAGGCATTCTACAAATGGAGCAACATCATAGAAAAAAGTCTTTCCCTGGTCTCTGTCCATCTCAGCTCTGAGGCTGGAGGTACCTGCAGCAAGGCGTCCAGACTATCAGGAAGATTCAAATAGAGAAAAATGGTCCAGTGTGTATTCTCCAATCAAACAATTTAGGGCTCAACAATTTAAAGCAGCCCCTTGAATTGTGCCCAGAAACCATCTGGGGATTTTACTGTAGCTCTTACTATATGCTCAAAATGGCAAGGCCCTATTAACAAACAGGGTATTCATATTCAGAACCTGTTTCCACATAGTCTTCAAATGCAGTCCAATGTGCCTTCCCATTATAGTGCCTTAAAATAATTTAACCTGGATGCTAGTCTTAGTTATTTATTTCATTTGGGCACTAGCAAGAGATAATAAAAGTGCTGTCAGAGTAAGAAAAGGTTTTCCTCAAATGCATTACTCTTCTATGCTGTAGCACCCCCTTATCTGTAGGATCAGTATCTGCTGATTCACTTATCCATAGTCTGAAAATATTAAAAATCTTAAAAGAAAAATCCAATAAATATATATTTCTAACAATGAATTTGCTAGAACTGGTCACTAGACAGAGCCAGAGACCATGCTATGTATAACATTTACTAGTGAAATATATGTGCACAATGTCGTTACTAGAACTGGCCGCTACAGGAAGCCAGAGATCATGCTGTGCAGAACATTTGCTATTATAATGGCATTGACTACAATCTGTGTTTTTCAGTATCCATGAGGGTCCTGGAACCAATCTCCCATGGATATGGGGGTCTTACTTTATTGGCAAAAAGTTCTTGGACATAAAAGTAAAATAGCGCATCTGAAGAAAACAAAGAAGCATTTCTGTTTCTTGAAGAAATCCCTCTGTTTTTTTCCAAAGGGACTTTGATCCAGAGAAAGCTTCCATAAACAGAAATGGAGGTGGGCGGACTCTTGTTGCCAATTTGAAGCGTAGTCCTAACAGGCCAGGATGATCCAATGGCAGCCAACGCCTGGCCAGTTGAATCTTCAGTGATTAGGGGTGTTGGAGAGTGCTCTCCTCCAGGCTTAGTTTTGGATTAACAGTTTGGCCATACCCGTGGGCTGGAGGTTTGAGTCTGCCATAACTTGGCTCTTCCCTTGCCCTACCTCTTTGATTCTTCCACAGCTAGATCTTAGCCAAGCTGCTCTGTCAATAGGTTGTTTTATTGCCATATCAGTGTGTCATGTTCTCACCTGTTCTTTGGTTGTTTCACCAAGCAAAGGCACAAGCTACGTGTAATTCAGCTGCCACCAGTTGATTGCATCAACTTTATTCACTATTAATGACAGATGTCTGGGCAATGTATCATTTAAGAACCAAGTAGAAATTGTTTATTGTTACAAGTGATAAAAGTTCAGTCAATGTCATTAACTCCCAATTGAAACAACCTTCTTCCTCCACTCTCAACCACCCAATCGAAACAACCTTCTTCCTCCACTCTCAATCACCTACTCTCCTCTCTCTCTTTCCTCTGTTCTTCACCCCCACTTAACTCCGCCCCCAACAACTCCTATTGGTGCATGCAAATCTCAACATGAATATTTATGAGCAGGGTGAACGCTGCATTGTGAGATCAGCCAGCAGGCTTCAGCTAGCACAAGTACATTTCTATTGATAGAAAAAGCTTGGGCATAAACCTAACCTACTACACCCAGCACAATGTTGAGTTGGGACTGCACTGTTACCCTGTCCCTCCTTCCATGTGAATTTGCCTCTTCATTCACCAGAGCAGATTTTATATTCAAGGGGCTTGAAAGATACCCAAGACTGTATTTGCTTATGGAATTCTGGATTCATCTTTGCTTTTTCAATGTATATCTCTCCTCCTCCTCCTTCTCCTGTTCCTTAAAGGAAGAGATGAAACTTTAAATATGTTGGGGTCCTTAATTAAGATTCTCTCATCATTATTCTTCTTTTGCAACATTTTAGTTTTGGTTTTTTTCTCTCTGTTATAATGCGTTCAAATTGCCCTCACTAATTTTTCTTTAGTAGGAATAAACTGCATGTTTTTATAAATGCTTTAGGCCTATACCAAGACAATTTTAAATTGCTTCAAAGAGAATGAGTTGTATAGCTGTGTTTCTTTCTATTTCCGAAACCTGGCTAAATTATAAATATCGTATATAGTTCTTGATTCCCTTCCCCCCCACACACACACAATATTTTGTCACGAACATTGTTACTAACAGATCTTAACTAAGAAAGTTTTCTTTCATGTTGTTTGTTAATTTACCATAAATTTTCCCCTGGCTACAGTAAAGATCTCACTCCATGCTCTATTTCAGAACACTCTTTTCCAATCTGACTCAGAAGGGGAAAGTCTCTAAACCATCACAAATCATCTATGGTGGTAACTTTTAGAAGCTCATAAATGTGCAAAGAAAGAGATCCTTGCTAGCAGGCTGCAGAACATTGCATCCTAATTGTACAGGAGCAATTAGAGATACTACTGATCCTTTACCTGGAGACAGACTGAGTCTATTTTGAGCAGTTCCAGCCTACTAGTTAGAGATAAGTGTCTTTAAGGCCTGACAGCTGCTGGTGGTGCCAAAATGGATAATAAATCAAGTCATGAGGATGACATTCCCAGTCTCCTGTTGAAGATATAAGAGCATCATCTTCTCCAGTCGCATTCTCTAGGTGATCAAATTACATGAAGTCTGTTCTTATCGAATACATTCTTCACTATATTCATTTGGATGTGTTGTGTTAACAGACTTGGACCATTTCACTTTTAACATGATTCTGTTTCATGGGTCACAAATAGAACATGAGGTTCTAAGTATAAATTCTGCCAGTCATTATTGTTGCTGGCTCCAAAATTTGATTTAGAATCTGATTAACTTTTCAGATTGCTCACAGAAATTACAGAGCACAGTGTAGTTTCTCCTTACGTAATGCAAATCACATAGATGTGGGATTGATTGATAGCTTTACTAAAATGCTAAAGCACAGAGACACATACAAATGAAGGAGTATTAAATGTTGACATGCAGCCACTCATTGGGACGGTTGTCTTACCTAGGCTCCCAGGAAAGTAAAAAAATGCAGCCAGTTCAATTGATCTGTATCAACAACAGTTTCTTCTCTGCCAAGAGTAACTCTTAATTGCTAAGAAAATTGTAGCTAGCTCAAGAGGAATGGGGAAGCCACATAACACAATCATCTCTATTAGTTTAGAAGGCTTTATGCTTTGGCCCTGTGATCCCTGAACCCAATACACTGCTGAGTACTGAACAGTTTCTATCATAACTTGAGCATCCATGTTGATCCATGCATCTGCAAAATGCAGTACAATAGGACTGCGGTATCCGCGGGAGATCAGTTCCACACACGTACCAGCAGATGCCCAAAAGCACAGATATAGAAAAGCTATATATAGCATAGTCTTTGGTTACTTCTAGTGGCCAGTTTTTGTAATACATCTTGGAAACTTATATTCTTTTTTTTAAAGGACAAAAGAGTAAAAAGAAAATTTGACTTCCAGCAAATAAATGAAACCGTGGTACTGGTTCCACAGATACTGCAATCCTACTTTATAGTTGAAATGGCCAACATTTCAAAATCATTTCTGAATATAATGAAAGATGCAATTTGTCTCTTTAGTGTTTTGTAGTGTTTTACAGCACAAGCCTATGCATGTGCACACAAAAGAAAGGCCAAGTTCAGTGGGACTTCCTTCCAGGTAGCACTGTAATTCTAACTGGACAAAATAGTCAACAGCCAGCTAACAGTAGCCCAGCTGAGGCTACCCTGAATCCTCCTTGCCTAGAAATTACTGTCAGCTACTTCTGACTGCCCATACCCTGGCCTAATTTTCTGTCAGCATTCTTGCTAATTTTATGTTAATTGTGTCCCTGGGCTAGAAAGGGGCTGAAATAATTCTGTTCCATCTTCTAATAGGAAATTGGGATGCGTATGTAATTAATATTTGGTTATAAAATATTGATATACATCTGCCTCTCTAGACCAAAAGCAATATATTTATAATTCTATGAATGTTACTTTACTTCATAAAACGTAGACTGTAGTCAGTGTTTTATAGCAGCTATTCAAAATTTGCTGTCATCATTGCCTGAAGTCTTCCTCCTTAGATCAATCTGATTCATAAGGCTTTCCGATACCATTTATAGATAAAGGCTATTTCCTTGCACACTTACAAATGGATTGATTGTGCCAATATTCCTTTTTCATCAGGACAGTTCCTGGATCACTGGATGCGATTATCTTAGTCAGCTGAAGCGTGTGGTTGCTGTAACAGAAAGAACTATCATCATATGGGATTATAAAACACAAGGAACTGCCATGGTACAATACTGAGTCATGCTAATTTATTTTCTTCTAAATCTTCAAATAGCATATTTACTGCATTAGAGCTCATTGTTCATATCAAAAGATAAACAGTAAAAGCAGCTGTGCTTTTCCCTTATGGCTACTTCCAAATGAGGCTTTTATATGGTATGCAACCACCTTTCCTCATTTATGGAATTTTACAGGAAGGTCCAGACATTGTCATCTTTTGCTTACATTCCCATGTTTCCCAATGTTTCTTCTGTATTTTGTTTCTTAACATAGAAAACATGTTGAGATTAAGCTGGAATAGCTGTGAAAAGGCTTCCCCTTGCCTAAAGCCCTCTGTCTGACTCTATGAACAGTAGCATGTTTAATGCTTAAGGAGTGTGGCTAGTAAGCTGAAGATAGACTTAAGAATGGACTAATTCTGGTGTGTAGCAAATATCCTGATTGATTTGCAAATACGTGTATACGTGGAAATTTCTCTTAAGTTGGGGCAAATGTAGACATGGGAGATCCATAACCAGAACCTCAGAAAGATTTAGGTGTCTATGTTGAACGTAGCCCCAGTAGGTCTAATTCAGATCTGGTGTTAGCCTGGTTCTACTGTACAGACCATACAGTTCATGAGGTACAGCAGACCATCCAAGGCCTAAGTTGCTTTAAGATACAGATTTGGGGAAGGATAATAAGGTAATTATGTGCTATCAAGTCAGCCTTGATTTATGGCAAACTTTTTCATGGTTTTCTAAGTACAGAGTGCTCTTTCCCCTCTTCTGGGAGCACTCCGGGACTTTGCTGTTGACCCAAGGTTATACTATTTGGCCTTCTCCCAGAAGGCACAGTAGGGAACGGAACTTCCAACCTCTGGCTGCACACTGAGCTGATCAACCAACTTGGGGGAGGATAGGGACCCATTTGATTTATGGCAAACTTTTTCGTGGTTTTCTAAGTACAGAGTGCTCTTTCCCCTCTTCTGGGAGCACTCCGGGACTTTGCTGTTGACCCAAGGTTATACTATTTGGCCTTCTCCCAGAAGGCACAGTAGGGAACGGAACTTCCAACCTCTGGCTGCACACTGAGCTGATCAACCAACTTGGGGGAGGATAGGGACCCATATATTACCTCCCCAGCCCTTCTGTGACTCATAGCAGCTTCAGCTATGATGGTAATATAAGCCTCATGGTGCAGTGGCTAAACTGCAAAGCTGCAGTCAAGACTCTGCTCGCAACCACAGTTTAATCCTGATGGGGCTCAAGTAGCCACCTTGAGGTTGACTCAGCGTTCCATCCTTTTGAGGTAGGTAAATGGAGTACGCAGCTTGCAATGTGTGAGGCAATGTGTAGCCTGCATGAATAATGTGTAACCCACGAAGAGAATGCTTTAAGCTCTATGAGATGGCATAAAAGCAACACACTTATTTGATTAGTGGGAGTCTTCCACAGTCTTGCCTGGATATGTCAAGGATTTGCCTGGGGACCTTCCACATGGAAAAAAAATGCGTTATATTATTAAGCTGGTGCCTGAGCTGAGAAAAGTTAGTTTTTGGGACTGTGACTGTCAGAATTCCACAGGCAGCCTTGGGGGACTCTAGGAGTACTACTTCACAAAGTACCTTTTCCATGATCTGGCTATAATACTTTTTCTAAGTTTCAAACCTTCTGTCCTTTAACAAAGATATAATACGATTACACATTTATAGCAGTGGTGTATGTGTGTTCTGTACCATCAAGTCAGAACCAACTTATAGCAACCGAAATAGGGTTTTCAAGGTAAGTGAGATATTTAAAGAGTAGTTTTAATAGCTCTGAGGGGACGTGGTGGCGCTGTGGGTTAAACCGCAGACACCTCTGTGCTGCAAGGTCGGAACACCACCAGTCGTAAGATCAAATCCACATGACGGAGTGAGCTCCCGTTGCTTGTCCCAGCTCCTGCCAACTTGGAAGTTTGAAAGCATGTAAAAATGCAAGTATATATAAATAGGTACCACCTCAGTGGGAAGATAACAGTGTTCCATGTCTAGTCACACTGGCCACATGACCACAGAAACTGTCTTCAGACAAACTTTGGCTCTATGGCTTGGAAATGGGGATGAGCATCACCCCCTAGAGTCGGACACGAGTGGACTAAATGTCAAGGGTTACCTTTACCTATAATAGTTCCACTCTCCCATATAGTTGCTATGACTAAGCGGAGAGTTGAACCTCCCCCCAGCCAGTGTTCTAGTCCATCCCTCTATCCACTACACCACACTGGGAATCCATCGCATTTATAGAGCAGATCATAGTTTCTCCCAAAGTGTAGTGGGGATTGTGCTTGGTGAGGGTGCTGAGAATCCTAATATCCCCTTATAGAACCACAGTTTTTCATGTTTTCTAGTGAGAAGCACCCTTTCCAGAATTTTCTAGCATGTTACAGATAGGACCTTTCTGAACATATTTTTGTCTTTGAAACCAATGATTGTTTTTGCTAAATTATATATCAAAGCATCTAATAAACTGTTTGTTTTATTCATAGGATAATTGTTTTATCATCAAACCTATGGAACACTGTCTCCTCTGTGTTTGTGCAGTTCAGCAACCGGCAGAACTCCTAGTGAAGGATGATGTCTTATTGGGAGATGATGGAGGATATGTAAATTTGTTTACCATGACCAGTGACGATTTTGGTCTAAAACAATCTAAATCTAAAAAGCAAAAACAAATCATGGTTCTAGATTCTAAGAAATTCAAAAAGTAAGTTAAAATGGATTGAGAATTCTCATTATTAAGAATTTTTGAGATTATGATGTTTGGATTCTCTGATAGAAAATAGCTGCCTAACAGTAAGAGGAAATAAACATCATTTGGAAGAATGAGGTGGAGTTGCAGTATCTCTGGAACACAGCAAATTAGAGTGGTCATTTAGGCCAGATGGGCGGGGTATAAATCAAATCAAATCAAATCAAATCAAATAATAATAATCATCATCATCATCATCATCATCATCATCATCATCATCATCATCATCATCATCATCATCATCATCATCATCGAAAGAAAGAAAAATTCTTAAGAAAGGTTCCTATTCCAATGGTGCAACAAAATGTTGTAATGTAAATGTTCAAGGGATTAGGCAGCTATACTATCTTAGAATGATTACTTTATCCCTCCTCAGAATTCTTCCTTTTTCCTCTCAAGTGTCAGCTGTTATTCCCTGACAACTGAATAAGCTCTGTCTTCAATGTATTTCTGCCCCAACTCTTTCAGTATTTATGAAAAACTTTCAATTCCTCCATGCCTGCAACTATCTCCTTAATATGTTTGGATGATGCCCTTTTGGCAACATTAAGATACACACTTGGAGAATAGGTTTTGCTGTTAGGATAATAACACACGTGCACACATCCAATATGCCAAGTTTGTTAGCAAAATTGAGGATTGTGTGTGTAGCACCAGTTGTGGGCTGAATAATAATTATGTGCTGTTAAGTCAATTCCGACTTCAATGATCCTTTCAGATTTTCTAAGTATACTTAGAAGTGATTTACCAATTCCTCCTTCTGGTACCACACAGCTTGCCCGAGGCCACACAGGCAGCAAGACACTTAACCTCCTCAGCCGCACAAAGAGCGGTCATTCCCATGGAGATGGAGAAACAGCTAGGAAGAGTGTTGTGCTCACTAAAGTAGAAAAAGGCATTTGGAAATGAGCCAAATGCAAATAATAATATTGAAAAGCTATGTGTGTGCATAATCAGCTGTAGTATAAAATTAACTGATAAAGTGAAGACAAAATGGAGAAGAAGACTGCAGGATGTCTGCATGGTCTTCCATGATAAAAACACACATCACAGTAAAGTTACAACTTCTTTTATCTGAACTAGCTATAATGTAAAATTCCACAGCAGTGCAGCTTTACCTGAGATAACACTTTGAACAAATATGAGACTGCTGGGGTATGAAAGTGGTGCCCTAAGTCTCTCCCCTTTGACTGAGATAGGCAAGATGTTCATATACAGTACCAGATATTGCCAGATTATGTTTCCCAAAACCTATTAGGGTCTCATGTACCATTCTTCATTTCCTGCCAGAGTGTCAAACAAAGCCAGGCCCTTGTTTATTTTTATTGTATTTTATTTTCTTCATAAATAACTCTATTTTAGAGGTTTTGGAACAAACAAACACAAAAAATTATAATTAGGAATACATTAATAAAACAGTGAACAGAAATAGAGAAGGGTAAGATCATGCCTGACTTCAATGGGAAGGGACTTCCAAAGGATGGGAGCCGATGTACTAACGGCCTTATTATACACCTGGTGGACTCCAAGCAGATCTTGGATCTTGTGGAACCATTTCCTGACATATGAAGATGCTTAAATAAAACTTTTGTTTTTACCATCCTCAGCATTAAACGGAAGCTGCACGATGACTGGGTTGTAAAAGTAAAGTACTTTCCAGCCTTGAATTGTTTTGGATCCTGTTCCTTAGACAGTGTTCATTCTTTAGTTTTGGATGATCTGAAAAGACTAGAAGACAACATGTAAGTTGCTATCAAAAACTGCTTCTCACAAAAAAAGCACTTCACATATGTTTTCAGTACATTTACAATATTGTAACAAATGCTAATTTACATTAGTTTTGTTTCTTCTAAATTATTTTGTTGTTTAGTTGTGTCCGACTATTCGTGACCCCATGGACCAAAGCACGCCAGGCCCTCCTGTATAAATGATAGTCAATTGGAAAGTCTGCTCAAAATTAATTATTCTGTGTCTGATCAAATGATACACTTGACCCGTTTTACAAAGTAATCTTTGAAGGACATACGGAAATAAATGTTTAATGAGGAACACACACACACACACACACATATAAGTAATATTAAAGTTGTGGTTTAATGTAGTGTTGCGTGTTTGTACATTATTTTATTGGTGTGAACTCTGGTTTAGAGTGCAATAATAATAATGTTTTTAAACATATTTTTAAAATCTTACTATACATTTAATTATTTTTAAAATATAATATTTATATAGTGTTTTTAAACTATTGTTTCATCTAATGTGAGCCACATTGGTTCCCCTATGAGGAGAAAGGTGGCAAACAAACAAACAAACAAACAAACAAACAAACAAACAAACATTTAAGGTACATGGACATAGGGTGAAATAGAAATATAACAATGCTTTTGTTCCTTTAAAACGTCCTGCTGATTGGCCCCCTTCTGCTCATTATTAATATCTAGTTCTGTTTTGATAGAGGGCACATCTGATGAAAGTGCATTGCACCACATTTCCTTACTGTCATAAGTAAAGCATACCAATATTTTAAAGCAAATGATATCTTACCAGATTGTTGTTGTTTAGTCATTAAGTCGTGCCTGACTTTTTGTGGCCACATGGACCAGAGCACGCCAGGCCCTCCTGTCCTCCACTGCCTCCTGAAGTTGGGTCAAATTCATGTTGGTAGCTTCGATGACACTGTCCAACCATCACGTCCTCTGTCGTCCCCTTCTCCTCTTGCCTTC